CACCACAGATCCGCTGCAGTTCGCCTACAGATCCAACAGATCCACAGAGGATGCCATCGCCCACGTCCTACACACCACTCTCAGCCACGTGGACAAGAAACAGGGTAACTATGTGCGAATGCTGTTTGTTGATTACAGTTCAGCGTTTAACACAATAGTGCCCTGCAGACTGTTCACAAAGCTGAGGCATCTGGGACTTAACAGCCGTTTGTGTGCATGGGTGTTGGACTTCCTCACTGGCAGAACTCAGGTGGTGAGGGTGGGCAGGTGCTTCTCCAACAGCATCGCCATCAACACAGGAGCACCTCAGGGATGTGTCCTCTCGCCACTGCTCTACTCCCTCTACACTTCAGACTGTGTGGCCACCCACGGCTCCAACACCATTGTGAAGTTTGCTGACGACACAGTGGTGTTGGGTGCCATCTCCAACAACAATGAGGTGGGCTACATAGACGAAGAAACTTCCCCTGGATCCAGATGAAACCATGGTGTCCTTTGATGTAGTCTCTCTCTTCACCTGCATACCCACCACGGAGGCCGTGGAGACTGTCAGAAAACGACTACAAGAAGACAGCTCATTGGAGGACAGGACCAATTTCACCACGATCAGATTTGCACACTGTTAGACCTCTGCCTCACCACTACATACTTCAAATACAACAAAGGCTTCTACAGTCAAAAACATGGCTGTGCCATGGGCTCCTCCGTGTCACCTATTGTAGCGGGGGGAAACTCCCACTAGGTTTAAATCTGGGACTCTCCACCATTTGACCTTAGAACTGAAGAAGCTTCTCGGATGAGAGGTGAAACGTCTTCTAGCAACTTAAAGAAGTCCATACGCTTTTCTTTGCAAGCTCCTTTGACTACGATGACCTGGATGACTGAGAACCTTCACAGACATTTTGGAGATTTACTTTCCAGGATGGTTGAGAATACATCAAGACGCTTTATGAACTGTGTTAATTCTACCTCCGTGTGCCCAGGTTACTATCCGGGGTTTGTGTCTGCCACCTGCCTGTCCTCCTGGCTGCTCAGATCTCTAAGTGCACCATCTGTCCTCATCCCTGCCTCCATGGATTCGCTTCCCACTAACTCGCTCCCCCTCTTCAGAGCCCCACGGTCCGGCTCTGGTCGTAAGCTAAATTACTATAGCCCTGTTTAGTAATGTCCCTCAATCCAACTGCTCACTAGTAATTTTCTCCCCTTTCCGTTGCAGCCCCCACAGTCCTGATTATGGCTTCCCTGTGTAATTTGTCTTCCCGGTTTCCTTCAGTTCTGCGATTTTGCTTCCTTGGTTGTTCCGGGTCACCTTTTGTTAAAACAATAAAATCTGCACGCTCACATTAAGCGTATTGAGTCTGCTTTTGGATCCTGCTTGTGTGCATGAACTGCGGTTCATGACAATAGGAGGTTAGGGCTAGGGTACCGTCGTTCTACTGGATTTCATCCATAACCCGGCGCGTAGCATAGGAACGCTGAAAGTCATCTTTCACGTTCCTATGGAACACCTTGGGACGTGACAAACCGTCAGTATATTACGCCTCAAGAGTGAGAACGGTCTGCTATTTTCACTGAAACAAGCTAAATTCTCTCCAAATCTTTCTTAGAATGTTATATATTTGCTGCAGATTACCATTTGAGAAAAACTGTCTCTTTGACATAATGATAATCATTATTGTACACCTATAGTTTACTACCCTACTAACTTTGAAATGTTGGCTTAACAGACAAGAGTTATCTGTTTAGCCAAAGGTAATCCATCACTCACTAGCAAATGCTGCGAAAAGAAAATACCATGAACCATTACATACCTTCTTTATTTTATTTTCTGTATTTCATGCCACAACTATGAAAGTCAATGCTAACATGGTGTGTTAGTCTATTACACACTGCTCTTGTTGTGCAAGATCTGCAATATGGTATACTATAGTTCATATATCGTATGGTTGATTCTGCTTTTTCTAGCTAGCACAAATCCACTAAACAGTAATAATCCTAAACTCTGAAAGTCCAAGCAAAGAGATGGAAAAAGAAGACATAAAAAGAAAAGAACTGTAAGAGAAATATTCAGGCACTTAGAAAAACTCTCAAATCCTTGGCTACACTTTGCTTCATGACATTGTACATGTATTTCACAGACTGATCCTGATCCCATCTTGTGGAGTAGGATATTGTCTTTTGAAGACAAGACCAACAAATTAAAGGGTTTTCAGGTATTTCACAAAACATCCAGGTATTTCACAAAACATCCACATTGCTATTTACATGTGATCCTAGCACTCAATAGCTACATATTCTCACGACGTATTCCCTTAGTCAATTTTATAACCGCTACTGTACAACATGAATTGAACATTCAGATTCAGAGAAAATACATCACTTGTTTGCAGGACAACTTAAAATTATTGTTTTGTGGAGAGAATATAATTTCTTGTACTTTTCCATATGTATCTTTTTTATCAGTACTGGTTTTCCATCGGGTTTCCATTAATCTTCAATGCTAATGTGTTTCAATTAGAACAAAGTTATAAAACAAAAACAGAATCATCAGAACAGTGTGGCCTGTTACAAAGGAATGCAATGAAGAGATAATTCTGAGACTGAAGGAAAGTAACACTACCAACAATTAGAGTCAGCTGCAACTGACATTTAGTATTGTGCTCCCTTTGCACAGTACAGACATACAAAGATTTACTCTGATTGACAACAGCAATAGCAATAAACAAAGATGCCACAAACTGAAGGAACAAATGCACAGTACAATAAAGCAACCTGTAGTTGTAGCATGTTTTTGAGTTGTCATCATGTGATCAACATACTATTACAAATATTCTGGAGGGAAACCTGGAAGTCTTGTCTGATCTCTTCATGGCACCTTTGGCATGATTATAATCTGGAAAATGTAAAAACTTGAAGGCCTGTATCCTCTAGAAAGGCCAAAGCCAGAGTTTATGTTCATGATTAGAGTAATAAAAAACAGAAATAATGATTTATAGAGGGCTTGGGATAGGAGTGAAGAGTGGAGTCAGTTACTACACTAGTCAGATAACCTTCTGCTAACCCAGCTGCTTTCTATACTGAAGCTGAATGCAAGCAAACGTAGATCTTCCATGTCTGTTTTTGTGTAGAGATCTTAGTTTGGTACAAATTCCTTCTGAGTTCCTTACAGGATAAAATGAGGGGATTGTTCCATCAGGATGTACTGGAAGAAATCCTAAGCTGTTAATGTGGCTGACTTCTGACTCTATGACTCAGACTTTGTCTCACGATTGAGTACTTCCATGAATAAAAGAAACTTCTCCAGGGTCCATGACCAAAGTCCCTCATATGTTGGTGTTACTCATCATATCCTACCCCTCAACATTAAGGGTTTTCATTTAAACTGCATTACCAAGCACATTACGTTTCCTGCTGTGGTAGCACTGAAGGCAAGAGTTCATATTCAAAACCAAATACTACACTGGATGTTATTACTTCCAGCCAACCATGCTGGAAGTAATATGTTGATATTTTAAGATCTACTTCTAACCATTAATATGCTAAAATATGAATCAAACGTCTTGAAACATTTGTTTAAAATCAGAAATATGTGTATAAATTCATAATGAACAACTCCAAAACTGAGAGAGATTATTATGAATCCTGTTCTTAACAAGACTTAGAGCCCACTGATTGTGTCCTCCAGATTGTATAAAAAACAAGAAAGCTCTTTGAAAGTTGCAATATGATGTCAGGACACATTTAAATTTCACACATTTCACATTTTCAGACAGCCTCTGTAGGAAGACATTCAAACATACATATGTTTCTGCCAAGCATAGCGTGATGTGGATGTGATGGTCAAGTTTCAACTTTGGGAAGTTCAATTAATGTCTGGATACAACCACACTCTGCAGCTTTCAAAGCCCCTGAAAATGCTTTTACTTCAAACAACCACTTAAAAGGTTTCAAGCTAAGAAAAATGTCAGTCGTGATTTAACAGTGTAAGAACCCAATGACATTTGCTGGGATGTTTGATCACTCAAATCTAATCAGACCTTGATGAAGCAGATTATTCCACTTTAAATATTCAAAATATTTAAATGAAACACTGACATCATTATAGATTGATTATTTACATATTTGAAGTTTTCAGCGGTTTTACTCTTTAATCAATAAATTTGCAATTTGTGAAAACACGCACACGCACACACACGGACATACCACAGATAGCTCCATCCTGTACAGGAGCTTAGTTTGTGCATTTTAAGCTGAAGTGACTTAGTTTAGTTTAGTGATTTAAAATGTTTGATAAAAGAAGTGAAGTTTTTAATGTTGCAATACACAGAAACACCATGGAATATCTAATTGCTGCAGTGATAGTATAGACTGACACGAACACATTCGATCCAACGCAAACACATTTGGAAAAAAAAGTAAATTCCAGACTTTGGACATATTTGCAGAAATGGATCATATTCATATTCCAAATGATCTTACTTTGGACTTTGACGTTTCTATGATAGCTTACCAAACAAACCAATGGACCTTCCCATTATTATCTGCAACCAGATAATGCCTAAATCAACAAGCACACTGCAAATGCAAAACATCAGATTTAGTGGTATTAAGCATGGTGTCTGACTATATGTTGGACAAGTCAGTGTTTGGTGGGTTTTATTATTGTAGGGTCTTTACCTTACAATATAAAGCGCATTGCGGCAACTGTTATTGTGGTTTGGTGCAATATAAGGAAACTGAACTGAACTGGTTGCCAGGAGAACGGTGCTTGTCTGACTGCACTGTGCCAAGTGTAAAGTTTAGTGGAAGGGGGACTATGGTGTGCTATTGTTTTTCAGGAGCTGGGCTCTGCACTTTTTGAAAAATCTTTCAAAAGTTCCCATAAACACACTCCTAAACCTCGTGGAAAGCCTTCCCAGAAGAGCTGAAGCTGTTATAGCTGCAACATTTGGGCCGACATCACATTAAACTCTATGGATTAAAATGGGATGTCACTCAAGTTCATGTGCTTGTGAAAGCGAACCAGTAATTTTAGCAATATGGTGTATTTTAATAGCACTTTCTGGCTTTTAAACGCCTTGTTTTTATTAGCTATTTGTTTTTAGCTTTTGTTTTTAGCTATGTTGTTATGGTACCACATATGACTTTACAGGCTTTTAATGTAAAGCCTCAATGCCTGACCTGTGCAGTTTATCATGGCAGCACGTCGCTAAAACCATAATAAAATAGCTTGTTATAACAAGATACTTTTATGTCATAAAAACGTATTATTTGTGCAATTACTTTTGCTACACAAAGGGGGTACTTTTAAAAATGGTTAGTAAGCTTTTCATAATAAACTTGTAAATAAAATTAAAAAGCCACATTATTGGCTACATTTAATGCTATATCCCAATTATAAACCTACATTTGAAAAGACCTTGTTGTATTGTAGCTACAAAAACCTAAAATTTAAGATTGTCAGCAATCTAGACAGATAGATCAATCAACAGATAGACGGCAAATGAAACAGACAAATGGGAAAAACAGTGTGTCATGTTTTACAAATAATTTTGCTTTTTTCAGATGTTCCACTGCCTCTACAAAAGTCATTACCATTTAAATATTTAAACCTGAGATTCTAATTTTTCAAGACTTTCTTTGTACTGTAAAAACCAAAATGTTGGTGCGGCCTTCCTCCTGTCATCGTAGTCATGAGCAAACCCTATCAAAGACAGACAGTCAAATACATTTTGATGCTCATATTACATAAAAGTTTGGTATAGTAAATGCTAAAAATGTAAAACATTTTGGTGTTCACCAGGTTTCTGCTGAACACAGTCACGGGGCCACTGCTGTCAGACAACAGTGCTTATGTCATCAGTCTCGTCTGCTTTTTTCGGCTTACTGGGGAGAGACTTGAGGTACTCCAGATGGCGTCGCGCGTCCTCCTGGTTCTGACGTACATAATACACCACATATGAAATGACCATAGCAAACCAACCGAACATGGTTACGAGCATAGCATAATCTGTGGTCCTTTTTGCCAAGTTACAGAGATCTATGTCAACCGCCAAGAACGGCTGTCCCTCCTGGTCGTGGAGCTCCGAGCTTCTGCAGAGAACCCGGGCAGCAGCCTCATGGTTATGGGCCATTCCTCCAATAGCCTGCTGAAGGGCGCAGTCACAATGCCAGGGGTTATCGTTCACAATAATCCGGGCCTTCAGTCGAGCAAAGGCATCCTTGTGTACGCTAGTGATGCGATTGTGGGAAAGGTCCAGCACCTGTAAAGTTGCCTCTATGCCAGTGAATGCACCTTCCCCTAAAGTCTCCACTGCATTGTAAGAAAGGTTTAGCTCCCTCAAAAACCTAAGTCCATGGAAGGCGAGATCGGGAACGCTGCCGATCTGGTTGTGGTCCAGCCTCAGCAAGACAGTGTCAACTGGTAGACTGGGAGGAATCTCTTTGAGGCGGGACTGACTGCAGGTAACATTGAAGCCATGGAGGTGGGAATCGCGTTGGCATATGCAGCCCTTTGGACACATGCTGGCCGAGGGAAAGCACAAGGCCATTAGGACAAGGCTCTGAAGGAGCAGGCACATGGGGATGGAGCGTGACAGCCACAAGTCCAGCAGAGTCATGCTGACCGACTGTCAGCAGCATCCCGCCTCGGGCCACAGCACCACCACTGGTCGCTTACACACATTGCATAGTAGCGACTGGCTTTCGCAATTTACCCACTGAAGATATGGAAGCGTGAACAGATGTTATCATACTGCGTTGTGGCCTGAAATGAGATAAGACAGAGTCAGTCAAACATATCAGCTAAAAATATAGTATAGTCAAAGGTTCATCATTTAAATGATCTTAAATGTGGCAGGTAAAATTTCATGAAAGTAGAATTCATGATAGATGATCAAATTTAATCAATAATCAAAATTATACAATGAATCCAAATAAGTTTTCTACCAGTGAAAGATATTCATTCATTGGATTCATTGGATATTCATTCTGCTAAAGAGAATGAATATCCAGAGCCTGACTTTACCAACAGCATCATCAGAATAAAAGTGTTTCTGAAAGACTAAGAGTAAAACCTTTTATACTGGATTAGTGCATAATCATAAAATGTATGATTGATCTGTTTAGTAGTAATATGATGAAATAATAGTGCAAGCATTATCTTACTCTTGTCAATAGAATCAAAATTTAACACAAGTAGAGATAAAAAGATGAATGCTGAATAATTCTGAGGCTTATCATACCATCTGTTAAGTATAACACAATGCTGGATACCCAAACAGGATACGCAAAAGTGGGTGTGCATATGGGCAATGTTTTACTTTAGTGATGCTCCACACAATTTCAGTCTCAGAAGATGAGACAATGGAAGCCACAGGGCGTGAAGGTGGATGTCAGACAAGATCAGACTATCGGTGTGCACGAGTTGGATGTCAGGATGGAGAGTGTCTCCAGGGCGGAGAGGCTGGTAACTGGAGGTGACTTCAGTGGACATGTAGGTCGAGTGAACAGAGGTGACAAGTATATATGTATTAAGGAGAGGCATGCAGAAGGACAGATGGTGGATTTTGCCAAAAGGACAGAAACGGCCATGGTGACCATGTAGCCTACTTCAAGAAGAAGCAACATAGAGTGAGGTATAAGAGTAGAAGAAGGTAGACCATATCTAATGCAGAAGGTGCAATCTGAAAAGGACAGGAGATTATAAAATGTAGAAAGGATTGTAGATTGTAGAATGACTCTGGAAATCAAAATGTGGAAGCAAGTGAAGGCAGAGCAACGATGAAATGGTGAAAGCTGGAGTTGAGACAGGTTCTGTGTGGTAGAGACGAATTACCAGGTGACTGTGAAAATACAGCTGCAGTAGTGTGGGAGACTGCCAAGAAGGTGTTTGGTGTATCCACTGGAAAATATTCAAAGAGTTTAGTAATGAACACATTTGATAGCCAGGGAGACGAAGAAAACACCAGCAAACTTTATGGGAAACTATGCATAACACAAAGAGAGAGCTGGCAAAGCAAAAGGCTCAAAGCGAGTTATATCTGAGGCTGGACAATAAAGAAGAAGAAAAGCATTTGTATCAATTAGCAGAGAGAAAGACGGCAAGACTGAGCTGTGAAAAGATGTGCAACAGGTTAGTGTGAGTAAGGAGATTGGTGAAATGTGTTAACAAATGAAGACTGTCTTCCTTCTCTCCCCCCAACCAATCACAGCAGATGGCCCCGCCCCTCCCTGAGCCTGGTTCTGCCAGAGGTTTCTTCCTGTTAAAAGGGAGTTTTTCCTTCCCACTGTCACCAAAGTGCTTGCTCATAGGGGGTCATATGATTGTTGGGTTTTTCTCTGTATGTAGTGTTGTAGGGTCGACCTTACAATATAAAGCGCCTTGAGGCGGCTGTTGTTGTGATTTGGGGCTGTATAAATAAAACTGAACTGAATTGAACTGAATTGAAAGACTGATGCAGTACTTTGAGGAGCTGCTGCATAAAGAATATTAGACAGAGGAATGGTAGTGAATCAGGAAACACATCACTAAAAGCAGGAAATAAAGAAAGCTACTAAGATGATGAAGATAGAAAAGGTTTGGTCCGGATCACATTCACTACATTGCCAAAAGTACTTACTCACTCATCAGGTGTTCCAATCAATTCCATTCAAATCAGTTCAATTCAATTTTATTTATACAGCACCAAATCACAACAACAGTTACCTAAAGGCGATTATTTTAAAGTAAAACCCCTACAATAATACAAAGAAAACAAAGAAAACCCAACAATCATATGACCCCCTATGAGCAAGCACTTTGGTGACAGTGGGAAGGAAAAACTCCCTTTTAACAGGAAGAAACCTCCAGCAGAACCAGGCTCAGAGAGGGGCGGGGCCATCTGCTGTGATTGGGGTGAGTGGAGCAAAACAGAACAAGGACATGCTGTAGAAGAGAGCCAGATATTAATAACAACTAATAATTACAGGCAGAGTGGTCTAAAAAACACTGTAAGTGAAAAAGGTGAGTGAAGAAGAAACACCCAGTGCATCATGGGAATCCCTGGCAGCCTACGTCTATTGCAGCATAACTAAGGGAGGATTCAGGGTCACCTGGTCCAGCCCTAACTATATGCTTTAGCAAAAAGGAAAGTTTGAAGCCTAATCTTGAAAGTAGAGATAGTGTCTGTCTCCTGAATTCAAACTGGAAGCTGGTTCCACAGAAGAGGGGCCTGAAAACTGAAGGCTCTGCCTCCCATTCTACTTTTAAATACTCTAGGAACAACAAGTAGGCCTGCAGAGCGAGAGCGAAGTGCTCTAATGGGTGATATGATATATGGTATCATAATGTTTAGCCTTTCTATAAAATACTGATATTTGCTTGCAGCACACAGAATAGAGATTTTGCTCATCGAACAGGCAAGACAGAAGACAGAAAGTGATCTAAGTGATCCATTGTGTCATAATTGATTACTTATGTTTTGGAAATCAAAGCATGAAACAATTACTTACCGCACTGCTAATGTTCTGTTATAAAATGCAAAATCTCAATTTATACATTAATTAAGTGTTGTTTCCTGCAAAATCCAGCAATTACTGCAATACAAATAGGCAGGCAGAAAGCACTCAACAACCATATCTATGTAAATGACACATGGACTGATTCTTATTTAGAGCTTTTCTGTTCTCCCGAAGCCCTTAAGGCGCTTTATACAACATGCCTCATTCACACAAACACTTTCGTCTTTCTATCTACCGATTATGCATATTCATAGAGCAACTTGGGCTTAGCATCCTGTCCAAGGATAGTTGACATGCAGGGATTTAACCATATATTTCTGCCTGAAATATGTTCTGCAAGTCAGTATTTTGACCTGAGCTACAGACATGTGAATGTGTATTTCTGCTGGAAATATGTGGTGCATTGTTGCTTTACGAGACCCGGAGCTTTGTCACTATTAGTAATCCTCACATTTACTCTTTCCAAATAAATTAACAGTCACAGTGATCACAGTCTTGCAGAATTTATGCTCGAACAGAGCGAGCGTGTTCAACGTCTGCACTACTGCAGAGCCAGTCCGTCTGCCTGCAGTGAGCTCTGCTGTCAGATGAAGTATGTGCTACGACTGGTGTGTGGGCCTCTGTCGCTCGTGTTGTTGTTGGTCTGTGAGCTGCGAAGAAGAGCAAAGACAGCGAGTGTTAAACACAGTGAAAAGTGTCACTGCAGCCACTGTCTGTGCTTTTCATGCTTTATTTTTTGATCACTGAAGTTATTTTGCAGTTCTCTGGTGGTCTCCCTGCTTTATTCTGGCCCACTTATCACCAAAACAGGTAGGAGATTATTATTAGTCATTAGCATTCAACCCAGTCTTAATGAGGACTATACAAACAGCGCTTGCTGCCTCCACAGACTACGTTGTAGTCTGTGTACTTAAGAAGTTATTAACAACTCATATCTATTTTGTAATATTTTCCTATATCTTTTCTTGGGACTGTCCAATTAAAAACACCATCATCATTATCTGACCCCTCAACCTGAATGTAGGGAATAAAGCACACAAAGTTTATGGGAAACTGCAGAAACTGGCATCCTCACAATAAACGCTTTGCTGTTATTCAGCTGCAGTGCATCGTCTCTACTGCACTGAAACTATTGTTGCCTCTTAATGATGTTGAGCCTTCTCCTCCCATCTCTGCTCGTCTGTAAAACTGTCTTACTGAACGCCACTGATGTGCTTTGTAGTAAATGTATTTTCCCATTTTTATGCAGTTCAGAGTATGTTACCAAAACTGAAGTTAAGACATCTGCAAATTTTGTGAGACCATGTGGAATTTATAATAATATGTAACTTTAAAATTATGCAAAGGTGATTTCTACATGATGGACAAGTCAGAATGTGCCTTTTTATTTTATTGAAGCTGTGCATAGCTGCATTCTTAAAACTGCCATCAGCAGTGATGGGAATAACGGCATTAAAAGTAACAGCGTTACTTTGTAACAAGTAATCTAACTAATTACTATTTCTATCGTTACAATGCTGTTACCGTTACTAACAAGAAAATGTGGTCGCGTTACTATTTTTCAACAAACAGACGGTTGAAGCTGTGTTCAGCTTACAGCATCTTATATCAGCTGCAGGAAGTAGCTGTAAGTAATCCGGGTGCTGCAGCTTTAAGCAGCTGCGCGCTCCCGTGGGCAGCATTCACTTTCTACCCGACGATCACTTTTTGGCACAACACCTGAAGCTCAGGGGGCAAAACAGTCGCATGAGTGCTGCTGTTTGACTGAAGAAGAATAAAGTAGTCGTGCTAAGCCAATCACATGACCACTTTAAGATGACAAAGCAACAAGGTGATATTGTCAGGGTCCTGGGTCTCCTGACCCAGCGTTTTAGTTCATTGTGATTTTTGTATTATTGTACTTGGTGTGAGTTTCTATGGTTTCTAGTTTCGATCCCTTGCCCTTCATGTTTCTCTATGTCCCCTCTGTTCTGTGTAAGTCTGTGTCTGCATGTTGATTTCCCCTCTGTGTCTCTCGGTTCTTAGAGTCCTCTGCCTTATGGTTTATGTCTCTGTGTTTCTTAGTTGCTGTCTCCACTGTGTCAAGTTCGCGTCTCTGTGTGATCCTTCCTGTTTTACTTTGTAGGTCCGTGTCTTATGTGAATGTGTCCTGCTTTGCTTGTCTCGTCAGTTCTAATTTCCCCCAGCTGTGCCCTTCTTCTGTGTCTCATTCTCCTCGTTACTTCCCAGTGTATTTAGTCCCTGTGTTTCTCTGAGTCAGTGTTGCATCATACCCTCAACAAGCTGTGTGTGTTTTGCCTCCGTGTTACCAGTGTTTTGTTTCCAGCTCTAGTTCCAGTTCAGTATTTCTGCTTCAGTGTTTTAGTCCACCAGCGTTTTTGTTTGTCTTTTGGTGAGTTTAGTTAGTAAGAGGTTTTCCAGCAATAAAGCTGCGCTTTAAGTTGAACTTCTGTGTCTGAGTCCTGCATTTTGGATCCACCACTCCTGCTTGCCCGCCTGCCACACAGCCAACCATGACAGATATATACCATTTTTTAATTTGTGTTGATAGGCCACGTAAAACCAGAGTCATGATAAACAATATATATGCCTGTTTTTCCTCAATAGTTTCGTCACGTTTACTGTCTAAGGACAGCGCAGCGAGCACTCTCTGCTTATCACCAAAAAATAAAAAAACAGCCCGTCTGTGTTGGTGGAAAAATGCAAAGAATGATATGGCAACATGACATTGGGTTGTTCAGGAAGACGGGGAAGTTTTAGGAGAGAGAGAGAGAGAGTTTTGAGATGTGGGAGATTTGTGACATTTAGCGTGTTTGGAGTGTGTAGTTAATGTGTTGTCTTGTGTAGTTAGTTAGTGGTGTTTTGGATAGTTTTGTGTTGTGTGTCAGAACAATGAGGCGACTGCTGAATGTTACAGATGTTACCAAAAAGCCACCAAAGGCAGATTACAGTGTAAACACTGTCTCCAGGTAGAAACAGCAGTGATACACCTGCTGCTGTCAGACCTGCAGGTATCAGGCTGTGATGTTCTCCTTTATAGTGGACAGAAATTATTTTTGGAGTGGCACAAATAATTTGTGTGGCATCTTATTTAATGCAGAACAGCTGATTGTTCTGTAAATAGTTTGAAATGGTTATAAAAAAGGGTAAAAGGTAAATGGCTGCAAATAACTTTGCTGTTTTGATTTAATGTTTTTTTTTCTGATTTTAGATGAGTATGCCAAAATGGAAACGTAACTGTAAAATTACAGTTATGTTTCCCAATTGTGTCTGTGCACTGTTCAGAACTCGTGGAGGTCTTAGCAGTCAGATGCAGGCTGTTTTATATCCCAAGAGAGTTTACTGTGGTGATCATCGTTGCTGATTACATCCCACCTAGTGCTAGTGCTAATGCTAAAGCTA